CCTCATGTCCACCGCCGCGCTGTGTTCGACCGCATCCATGGTCTCAGCCACCCGGGTGTGCGGGCCTCCCAGCGCCTCCTCACGCAACGTGTCGTCTGGCCCGGCATCAAGTCCGATACTAAGAAATGGGCTGCCCAGTGCCTGGCCTGCCAATCCTCCAAAGTACATCGTCACATACGGGCCCCCTTACATACTTTCCCTATTCCCAAAGGACGTTTTCAAGTAGTACACCTCGACATCGTGGGACCTCTTCCATCATCCTACGGCAGCACCTACATCTTCACCTGCATCGACCGTTTCACCAGGTGGACAGAAGCAATTCCCATGCCCAATGCTACAGCAGAGACTACTGCCCGCGCCTTCATGTCCGGTTGGGTTTCCCGTTTCGGCCCCCCCCGCAACCGTAATCACTGACCGAGGAGTCCAGTTTGAGTCACAACTCTGGCAGCACCTCCTACAGTTCCTCGGCACGTCTAGACAACGCACTACAGCATACCACCCTCAAGCCAACGGCATGGTAGAGCGTTTTCACCGGCAGCTAAAGGACGCACTCAAGGCACAGCACGACCCTTACAGCTGGACTGACGCGCTTCCCTTAGTGCTCCTCGGCATCCGTGCGTCACACAAGGAGGATATGGACTGTAGCCCAGCAGATCTTACACTAGGCGAGCCCCTTCGGCTACCTGGGGATTTCTCACTCCCTCCTAACCCTCACCAAACCACTCCAGCCGTTCGTCACGACTTACTCCAAAAGCTACGACAAGCAGTTTCTGCATTCAGAGCTACTACTCCACGCCAGCCTCCTCGGCGCCCTGAATACATCCCTCCTGCACTACTCACAGCCGAGTATGTTTTCGTCAGGCGTGATGCTCATCGCAACCCATTACAACGTCCCTACGATGGACCCTTCCAGGTGGTTACCCGTTCAGCAAAGTTCCTGACGATTATCCGGAATGGCAGACATGACACCGTCAGCATAGACCGAGTCAAACCGGCCACCTTACCCTTTGGGCCCCCAGTCCAGCAGCACCATCAACAAACTACACCTGCACCAGTCTACCCGCAGTTACCACCGGCAGCAACACCACGCCCACGACATTTCTGGGCACCCTCTTTTCACCCTCAAGTAAACCCTGTTCCTGCTGTAGAACCTGCTCCTGTCATAGACCTTCTTCCTATCATAGAACCTGAACCTATAGTACACCTCCCTCATATCATAGAACCTGCTCCTGCCATGGACCCTCCTCCTGACATAGAACCTGCACCTATCATAGAACCTGTACCTATATTAGACCTCCCTCCTCACATAGAACCTGCTCCTGCCATGGACCCTCCTCCTGACATACAACCTGCACCTATCGTAGAACCTGCTCCTGCCATGGACCCTCCTCCTGACGCAGCCCCTGCAGCAGCAGGAGCACAACAACCACTGCTTGTACAACCTCCTCTAATCCCAAACCCTCTTTCTCCTCCTAATTCTCCCACAGGTTATGTGTCACTGGAGGGAGTTGTTACACGTAGCGGCCGAGTCGTACATACACCTGCCCGGTATGTGTTATGTGTGAGACACAACCCAGACAACATCCAGCCTCCCGCTGCGCCGGGAGGGGAGGGGGAGTATTGTAGTGGCTACTCTCCCCTACAACTTCCAACTGAGCTCCGGCCGCACTCCGACCAGCCAATCAGCGTACAGCCAGCTACGCCGAGAGACTAGGTCTATGCAGAGGACGTAGGGGTACGATCGCCGACCTAGTCTCGACCATCAACCTCCAGTTCAGGATCAGAGCGTTTCACACCTTACGCTTGAGCCGCTGTGATTGGTCATCTCGCTACGCGCACCCCAGATCCTGATCCTGGTAAATTGTATAAATACGGCCACGCCTGCCCAGGGAGGACATTCTACACTCAGCTACTGGACCAGCAACATCTCTCTCAGCTCCTCACCTAGTCACTCCTAAGCACTGCGCTGTACAACAATATATATACAGGAAGCGCATCGTGAGTTTCTATCCAACCTCATTCCTGAGTGAAGGTATCTACATGTACGTACGTTTGTGTGCCCATACAAAGAGATAATAGACAACTAAAGAGAATTGACAACTGGCCACATACAGTACGCTACACCAGTTTTGCTGTTATTTTATTTTAGTTTATGTAATCACATATAATATTTTAATTTTTTTATTTAATTCCTCATCAATCCATTGTTAAACTGCAAGTTATATTTTTATCTTACCCCCCAAAGATTGTGTATGGTATCAAGTTGTTATCATAATATTTTGGAAAATTTTCCCGGAATTTGTAAAGTTGTCGATGATGAACAAAAAGACACAATTATGTTAGAATACATCACCTACTGAACCCCGGGTTTTAGAGCACATGAATTGAACTGAACTCTGGTAACTTACATAAACAACCTTAATGTATAGCGTAACCCATTATCCCTGTTTGGACAGTTATTGTGTTACTGTTGTTTCAAATCACTTGAAAAATACAGTAAAGGGTCTTGACTCTGACGTTTCTGTTCAAGCAAATAATGACGCGTGGAGATCAGAATTTTGCAGTATATTGTACTGTTCATTCCAGTTAAGCATGATCGTTTGATCAGAAAGTTTCCCTTGCGACCACTACATTCAGTAGAGTAGCATCCTTGCTGGAGGGAAGAAATTAACTTTACAGTGGGATGTTAAGATCACCCTCCCCACTCACTCCCTCAAGTATATGATTAGACTGAGTCTTGATACACTACTGTGTACAGTACTACAAGGTTAGTAAAATTAAGGGATCTAGACCACCAAATGAGAGCATAATCTCTCGTCCAATATGAGGTGAGGTGAGACCACTTCGTCTTCATCTGGATGATTTTTTCCTAATTTAATTAATGCTCATCCCAACTAGAAGTGATCATACCTAGGGAAAGAGGCCAGAGCCTGAGTACTTTATTTTACTTTACTTTCTCCTTATTGTTACTGATCCGCCTGTTAACAACCACTTGGGCAGTCAGTCACATCTCTTACTCACTGTTGGAAAGGACTGTGCATGTACTAATTCTAGAATGTATCTATTTATTCTGTACCAGCGCCAGTGTTGGTCAAGTCTAGTCTTGAATGAGCTCACACTTGGTGCTGTCACAATGCTCTCTGGCAGACTGTTCCAGGAGTTCACAATTTTCACCCTCAAACATTTTCTTTGACAATTTTCTGAATTCGTGGCTTCTTGATCCTTAAGCCGTGTCCATTAGCTTCAAGTATGAACACTCAACTGAGTAATGTCTTCAGAGACGTAGTATCCCTCCATTGTTCTCAACAGTATTGTCTCAGGCTATTTGAAGCTCAGTATTGTTCTCGCTTCCACAGCTTGATTGTCATGGGTCTGGTGAAGGTTACACCAAACACTAACCACCCCAGGATAGACTGGCTAAAGGTGAGACACACCCACAGGGTTAACCTTGACACCCTCCCCCTGTTGAGTTGGTCAACAAGTGGCCAGAGAACACCAAGAACTTTAACAGCAATAAGTAGACAATGTCAAGAGACGATTGGACAGCTCCTAGCCATTGTCTGAGACTAGCCAACCATCCCGGGGTGGAGGGGGGAATCTAACTCTTCTGAGGTCAAAGTCACTAGAAGGTCAAAAATCACTTTTCTTGTGTTAACTTTGAAAAAACTGCATCATATAAAGATGAAACTTGATGCATTTTACTCAACAAAAGACATCAGAGATGCAAATTATGTTTCTCTAGGATCTGTTTCTTCACAAAATTACATACAGTACCTAGTAGTATAATTATGACAAATTTCCAACAAAAATAATGTGGATGCCCAAAACATGTTTACATTTTTAACTGTAGCTGTGGAGACCCCTTGGGGTACCAAATAAAATTTTGCCCGTATAGATCAAAGTGCAAAGTTACAATGACAAAATTATGTGCACATACAGTATATGAATCACTCTATCTCAGAAACTGCCCCCAAAAAAAAAAAAAAAAAAAAAACCCCGAATATATATATATATATATATATATATATATATATATATATAATATATATATATATATATATATATATATATATATATATATATATATATATATATATATATATATATATATATATATATATATATATATATATATATATATATATATATATATATATATATATATATATATATATATATATATATATATATATATATATATATATATATATATATATATATATATATATATATATATATACATATAGATATATATTATATTATATATATATATATTATATATATATATATATACTGTATATATATATATATATATATATATATATATATATATATATATATATATATATATATATATATATATATATATATATATATATCATGTAGATCCACAATGAAAACGTGATATGATAAATCTTGATAAAATCACACGGGAAAAGGGAAACAACGGAGCACCTTAGCTTTCGTCTTTATTCAAGACATCTTCAGAGGCAACTGAAGATGTCTTGAATAAAGACCAAAGCTAAGGTGCTCCGTTGTTTCCCTTTTCCCGTGTGATTTTATCAAGATATATATATATATATATGTAGAGACTCTTTGTGGGACCTTCACCAATTCATAAAATGAACATGCTAACAAACAACAAATTTACGTGTGAAGTTTCCCGCTCCAGTGGCAAGAGCATTTGGTTTAGAGGATATAATTTTTTCTTATTACCAACTTCATGTTAAGTAATTCCATTTAATGCTTAAACTGCAGCCAACATCCATGGATGTTTCTAGTTCCTTGCATTCCAGTTTTGTACATATGGGGAAGGATTAGAGAATCCTAAACTGCCATTTAAGGATTAAAACTAATTTACTCCATTGTATGAGTAAAACTTTGGTGCCTCCAAACCCTATGATGTATTAAATAAGGTAAATTCCCTGAAAGTTAATTCTAAACAGAGAAAGCTACAATTGCATATAGTATAAAGAAATGATGTAATAAAAAAATACAAGTTTTCTTAACAGTTTATTGAATATGAGAACAAAATATGTTGACAACAGGACAGAACCAGGAGTTGCCACAACCATAACCCTCATCCAATTTAATAAATTTAAGTAGCATTTTATCTTGACTGTAGCACAAGCTATCAATAACATGTAACTTACCAGAGATTGTCACATTTTCTCCAACGTTATTAAGTGGCAACTGCTGTGTGCAAGGCTTCTGGACCAGTTGATATACTCACTATGTACAGTACTTACAATGATACAAATACAAGCAAAAAAGTTTTACAGGATCAAAAGCATTGCGTTTATGGGTATAATATATTGGCGTACAAGAGCCTCATGACGTATTACAAAAGTGTGATCTAGCTATCCTTTATGAGTAATGGACGACATACTGTATGCTGACAAGAGAGACCTGTGGGGGGCGTGGTAGTGTGGCTCACCAGGTCTACACATCATCAACCCCATTTAATGATACATAAAACTTCCCTGATCAAGAAATATCCATGTGATAATTAATGTCTCATTGTACAAAAAGGCATAAATATATAAAATAAATGGATGCAAACATTATTTTCAAGTAAGGTAAATGGGTCAATGAATGTGCACACTTGTAGTGCCAACACTCTGACTTGGCTGACATTTGATACATGGTCCAGTATCAACACACATACTTAGCTGGCACTGAAATGGTCCTCTCACACACACATTCACTTGGCTGACATTGAAACAAGTCCTCCTGACATACACACAGTAATTTGGATGACACTGGGATACCAATATGTCCTTCTGACACACACTCACTCACTCGGCTGACACTGGAACAAGTCTTCCTGACATACACTCACATGACTGATTCTGGAACAAATCCTGACACTCAATCACTTGTCTGACACACAACACATCCTGTTGGCACATGCTTACTTGACTGACATTCATACTAGGCCCAGTACCAACATCAGTTAGCTGACACCAAAACAGGAACTAGTGCTGCATGCTCATTCATCTGACAAATACAGGACCTTATGCCAACACCCCTCACTTGGTTGGCACTGATATAGGGACAATAACCCTTGAACCTTGGTTTTGTGAGTGGTTAAAGCTTCTGTAACTTGTTATGTCTAGAGTAAATTCTAAAACCCTCGGCTGAATTTTCAGTATCCACATAAATGATGATTCTGCTTCATATAAAAATACAATGAATCCTGGACAGCTATAAAGGACACCTACTAATAATACTGAACCTTATGCTCCAGCCAGATCAGGAATGCAGTTGGAAAAGGAAAAAAAAATGCAAAGCACAAACCAAGAAACCAATAGTCATGATTTTGATTCCAGTAGGAGATGGGTATGAATATGGATTTCAAGCCATGACAAACGTTTTTGAGCTGCAAACAATATTAACAAAACAGTATTGAGTTCATCCAGAAATCCAGAGACAATGATTGGACACTTCTGTGAAAATATACAGTTTTAATGGAATTGATGTTTACTTCAATGTTGTAGAACTTGAGAAAATACCAAGATATACAAATGTGTGACTTTACAAGGTGAAATATGAATTCTAGTTACTTGCCACCTGAACTTCACTTCTTGATCTTTTCTTTGGTAATTAGTGTCAAAATTTTTTACATTCACATTTGTACATATTTCACTACACTAATTAATCTCTTCACGGCACATCTTAATTCTTGGCCTGATGGGGGTCATCCCATGAATGAGTATAATTATGTACTGTACCAGTAACTGTACCATTCTCTATTTCCACTGTAGAAAAACTCCACTGACACGGTTAATCTAGGAGCCTCTCTCACCCAGCTCTCTCTCTCATCTCAAAATATTTTTTATGTTGTACACTACCAAGACCAAGTTATACCAGTTCTGCTATATACCACCAGGACTTTGACTATACCAGTCCTGCTACACACCACCAGGACCGTGTAACTTCAGTTCTGCAAGACACAATCCCGAGCAGATTACACCAGGCCTCCCCCATACACCACCTACACAAGGCCAAACCCTTTCTGATTCAAACCATCTGGAGTATGTAACACCAGTTCTGCCATACACCACCTGGTCCAGGTCACCCAACTCCTGCTGTTTGCCACCAGGAGTATGTCAATCCATTTCTCTTATACACTGCCTGCATCTCATGCAAGTTTTTCTACACACCACCTGGATCTGGCCACACCAGTTCTCGTATGCACCAGCCTGGACCAGGTTACACATCTTCTGCTTTACACTACACGGCTTGGTCACGCTCTGTTCACTATACGAAGGCACAGGCCTCTTCTGGGCTAGAGTATCCCATTGGTGAAATACTGAAAGCCATCATAAAGTCTTGTGGTGATGGAGTTGATGGCATTATACACAAGAGAGTCCAGGTGAGCCTGGAGTTGTTCGTCGGTCATGTTGACATGGAAGCGGCTTTTTAAAGCTGGCACCACTGAAGCCCCAGCACGGAAACACGCCAGTTTGGAGCCTATAAACACAAAATTAGTTCACTTTATAGAATGTTTAGAGCAAGAATGTATACATGTATGTTCATTTACTTATCCAAGGTTTTCCACAAGATGCACAGTGACCAGAACCAGCAGTACCATAGATTCTCCCTAATTCACTGTCATAATAATCAAAATACTAATGAAATCCTGTTAAAAACAACTGAAAGCAATATTTATTGTAGGAAGCAATTGTTTCACCAATCAGTACAAATAATTCACAAAAAATAGTGAACTAGGAATAAGAACAAGTGAGTGGAATGATGAGGCAGCAGTAAGGATGACTACAGTACTCGGCCAAACTATAGAGGAGTGCAGTATGATACACAAGCTTACTCTCCTCTCTACCATGTGAAATAAAAGCATACAGGTGAGCAGACATGTGGTTCTGCTGAAAGGGAATGTGTAACAAAATAATATTACTTTCAACTTCTATTGGGCACAAAATGTAATGTCACAAATATTATTTTTATCCACTACTGGGCACAACAGGGAATGAATAAATGAAAATTGAAAAATCTTCATAATACCAAAATGCAAATAATCAAACACATTGCAATACCACATACATACTGTATACTATCCATTACAGAGTAAAGTTTCAATTAAATCCAAAAACTGTGGTACCTAATGGGGGTTATGGACTGACACACAGGACTCCTGCTGTACCAGTGGAGGCTGTAGAAACAATATGTAGACACTTACCAGAGCTCATGATCTCCACTAAGGAGAGTATCTTCTCACTATGTTTCCTTGCAGCCAGCAGACCTTGCAAGAGCAGAATCTTGAAGTAGGCAAACATATCTGAGTTTTCTCCTCCCATCACCTCCACAAGCTCCTGCGTCAGCTTGAAGGGGGAAGACTCAAACCCTAAGTTGCGGGGTGACGATGACAGCATAAAGCCAAAATCTATGTGTATGATGTGACCCTCGTTGTCTAGTAAAATATTTCCATTATGTCTGAAAAATAATTTGAACTTTATTGTATTTATATTTCAAAGTTTGTGATCATGCAATACTGCATTCCCTAAATTGTCTAAGTTAAAGAAGGTTCATAAGCAATAACTACGGTGTCTACTCTGAACCCTTAATATGAACCTCTTTACTGTTTAAAGTCTTGTTCTGCTCACATGTCCCACAAAGCAGATGTAATTGTACAGTACCAGAAGACCTGCATCTCCAGCCCCTCAATACACAAAATTTCACTCCTAGGCATAACAGGGGAGATGGTGCATGGAATCTGTAGACCGTGACAGTACGGGGCTAAGATTAAAGTACACCCTATACAGGAGCTATAAAATCTACATGATAACTTTACTTGATCTTCTAACACTTTTGAGCTTCAAGAAACTCATATTGTCTTAAACAGTTACTTTGCTATCAACATCATTTTAGTATAACCCCAATGACCAAAATTTCTTATCTAAAATTAAATTCTACTATATTTCAGACCTAAAGACTTAACCTACCCAGTTTTATCAATGAACCAACCAAGCCTGAAACTCAAGTGATTAGTAAATTAACCAAATCTGTGCAATGTGAAAAATATCACTAACCAATGCACCTGCAGCTGCATGTAAAGTGAGCCACAATCCAAGCAAGCCTTGACCTGAGCTAACCAATAGAATTAAAGCCCTTCAGGACTGGGTCCCAATCATAATGGTTCGGTTGAGACCTATTTGGACCGGGCCCTATTGACTAATCACCCACTGTATAAAGACTAAGCCTTTTTTTTTACACAAAGTAGTATGGCTGGCACTGCACTTTACCACATTCATTTTCCCCAACTTCGAAGTTAGGTACCCATTCACAGTTGGTTGAACTCAAGGTGCCCTGAGTATAAACCTACTACAGTACTATAAGAACACAAGGTGCGCGGGGCATCCATTCAGCAACCCAGCCCCTATGTTATGTATCACAGTCCTGAAGAGTTGAGTTACATCACAGCTAAATCTGTTTCCTTGACACCCCAAACACACACTTATCCCTCCATTCCTCACCTGTCCTTGACTTGAATGATGTAGCACACAAGGCAGTAGGCAGCACAGGACTCAACAAATTTCCTCTGTGCTGTAAGAAATTCTTCAGAATTCTTATCACCAAATTCTTGGATGAAATATTCCAACATGGACATCTTGCTGTTCTTCTTGATTTGGTGCAATGAGCAAGTGTTAACAATGGGCTCAATCATACCCGAGTCATCTGACAGCACCAAGATCCTGTAATAAAACACAACCACTTGTTTATTATCACAGAAATAAGGTAAACTTTTAAATACCTTATCTACTATGAGGTCATAAAATTTGACCAAAATAATACAGATGATGAATAGTGCCCTATAATCTTTCTCTGTTATTGGCTTTTCAATTACTCAAAATAGTATCAAATAAAGTGACTATACAGTATTCTATTTTTTTTTATATAATGTAATAAATACATAAAGATACTCACTTGTAAGGTCTTAACCACAGAGATACTTTTTCTTCAGCCCAAACTTTTTGGAACATACAGAGAAGTTGGTAAGCAAGCAATTCTTGCCTCAGATCATCTCCACACTTGACAATTACTGACTGCAGGCGCCAAGATGCCAGGTGTCCATATGGAGAACTCTCTCGTATACGTTCTACCTGAAATTGTGTCAATGGTTCAATGTTAAGGTCAGGTAAATTCAGCCAAAATGATTGATAAGATACTATTGGATAATACATTCCAAGTTGTGATGCTTCTACTTAATGCAGGACACAACACTAACCTTATCCTGCCAAGGTTCCTTTAGTGCTGCTGCAGAAGGGTCTTCTGGGTCCCTCTTGAATCCAGTCTTTGGGGCGTTGACGGTCTCTGAGAGGCGACGACGGATGTCCGCCGCTTCTCTGTTGGTTAGTTCTCTCGAGTCACAGGAGTCCAGAGACATCATGGAAATGGTGTCGCGGTCTCTAAGTTTCTTGGGTCTATAATACTGTTGACTGATCTCATCGTCCTCGTGGCTCCAACAGTCAGACTCGTCTATGTAGCCTGGTGGTAAAAAATAACACATTATGCATTTCTTGCACTGACTTCCCTAACCTAACAATCTATCTTCCTTACTCCTCTATAAATATTGATACTTAACCTTCACAATGACTTACAGTGCTTAAAATTAATTCACAGTACCCGTATATGGTTAACTTTTGGTTGTCTAATTTATACCTACATAACACTTACAGGTATCACATACAAAAATTTCTACAGCAGACAACCTACTCTTTGTTCTAATACTGTACTGTATTATTTCATGCAGCAGCTCTAGTCTTCACAAATTCAGTTCTATAGCCTCTCTCTCTCATCTCTTTCTAAGTCTTACGCTTGTGCCTTCAACTGTGATGTCATAAATCTACATGTTCCTTATGAGTTATATCTTTACCAACTTCAGGCTCTCTCTCATCCATTCAGTTCTGAGAATTTTTAACCCTACATTTTCTTCCTTATCAATCTTTACTTGATAATTCTCTCAAGATTCATAATATTTTGCACACTAATCATCTCTACTGCTCTCAGTCTTGCTCTATTAATATTGTACAGGGATATGCCAAATTTGGACCATCATACACAAGGGTTGGAACTAGCACTATTTCATGATGTCTTCTTATGTGATCCACACACTAACTCTTCTCATTAATTAATGTTCTTAGAGCTCCTGTGTTCTCTCTTCTTCCTTTGTTCAGGAAGGTAAAACAGAGAAATAAGAATTACATCAACAGTTTGAATGACATAAAATCTTCAACTGAAAGCTGAATACTGTTTCATCTGCCATAACTCCTGAGTGACAAATCTAATTCAGCCCCAATTTTGAAGAGGTAATAACTTCCACACTTAAAAATAATAGTTTTGTACTTCTTTTTTTAACCATATGAAGAAAAAATACCCCCTTCCCCACACACACAACTACATACCAAATCTCTCCGTGCTTTAAGTTTAGGAATCAAATATGACATCGTACCAGATGTTAAATGTGGTGAACTGAGGGAAGAGGGGATAGAAGAGGTGGAACCAAGGCCGCTGGTGGTGGCAGTGGCTGTAGTGGTTGGGGTCGCCGTAAGATCCAACTGCGAGGAAGAGGTAGAGGCCGGAGAGTCAACTAGATTCTCCTCAGAGCGAGTGTGTCGCAGGCTGTGAGTCAGTTTTGCCTGGACTGGTGCAGTGACCAGGTTTTCCACTTCCAGCACCTCCACATATATGATGTACGGTGCCTGAAGGAACAAAATAAGTTATTCAATTATAAACACCATCTTGAGGACGTAGTTAAAAAATGTACAGCGCAGACTGCAATAAAGACTCCTGCAAGTACAATCTACAGGAAAATGCAAAGGACAGGAAGATTGTATCACATAATTGCTAAATACTGAGAAAAAATCCTTAGTCCTACCTTATGTATACAGTAATGTATATAGATCTTCCTATGGGTATATAGTACCACACTGACTCATATATACAGTACAGTACCTACAAGCTCACTTCTTAACAGCAACCCTGTTTAAGTGCAATGTGTGCAGCAATGCCACCATGACAGACCCTCATACTACAAGACCATTTCAACAAGCACACTCAACACTGGACAATACTCATTTTACTGTTGGGTGTATTGGCTACTTCACACAACAAACCTAATCTTTCACTCCAGCTTGGAATCAAACTCAGGCACTTCACTTGTACGAGTACAGTACATGCAAAAAGGGGGGAAATTAATTCTAAATAACATATCTATCAACCCCAGTAATAACAACCAAAACTATACAGTAAAACTAATGATTAAAAATGGATCAGGTTTTCTCACATGTAACTACAGACTGTAAGTTATGGCTGCTGACATTTAAAATCTGATGTGTGTACAAACCTTATCTTTGGAGTTGAGCACAACGGCAGCTTGTGGTGGGATGCGGACAACGTGATGAGACATTTCAGTGGCACATAAAGGCAGGTACACACGTGCCGGTAGGTTTAAGTTTAGTACCGACAGCTCAGCGAGTAATCTTGAAGTCTTGGCTTCTTTGGTGGGCTGCGCTCCCAGACGCTTACCGATGGTTATGAGGGCTCGTACGAACTCCAACTCCGGAGATAATCTTGGTGCCTGAAGGAGATCAATTGAAATTAATAGATTACATCAATTATAAGCAACTTTTCATTGTTGAGCTGAGATGAGAAGTGTGTGTGTGGGTACAGGATAATCTTTCTATTTGGCTGATCTTTGTAATGTGTCTACACACAGAGTAATAACCATAAGGAGACAGACACAGTAACAGCCACAGGGACAGACAGACAGAGATACAGTATACCATTAGATACTCCACAAGACAAATGTACAGTGTGACATGTTGATGATCCAAGACACCTGTGAAGACCTTCTTCAACTACAGTCAGAATTCAGTGAGAATATTTTTGTACCCAATCACTTTTTTGTTGTCACTGGCACAAACTTGTGTTAATCAGTATTTGTGACCTGATAGTCTACCATAAGTCAGTTTTTATATAGTACACAACATGCCTTTGTGTACTGACCCAAAAGACTTTTGCTTTTAATGGTTGGTACGCTAATCAGATTAATTTGCCTCCTTTTTTTTTAATATTTCCCTCATCTTTTAAATATTTCCCTCTTAGTCTTTATTGCCTTTAAAAAGGGATTTTTCGATATACCATACTGTATGTTGCCTTTTAAAGCAGGAACTTGCTAAATCATGTCATTACACCTGTATTTATGCACACTGCCATTCAGCTGTTCCATGGAGTGGCCATATTGGAATTTTGGTGCAATTCCAAGTGTTCCAGCCACCTCACACCTGGTTAAGTGATACAAGCTCTGCCTCCTGTTATAATCCCACTATTAATTGTGCCTTTGGAGAAGGTTAAAAGGTGGAGCTAAACAGTCCTTGGTGTTATGAATACATGCAGCATTTACTGCCATCTATGTCTTGTTGGGAGATGGGAGATTTTGTTTGCCCCTTCACTACGGGTTGCCACAACAGTATTTTATTTGACTAATGCCAAATGATTTTATTCAGCAGAGAGACCCCTCATACCCAAAGGGTTAATGATCCAACCTATGGTTCAGGCCAGTGTGTCAGCACAGTGAAGCTATCTAATGACAGGACATGTCATGATGGGAATCCAATTTCAATGCAAATGGCATAGGTTACTTAAAAGGGTGTTTCTATTGCCAGGTGTCAGGGTCTGAGTCCAGGTAGTTAACCATGATGTGACGGCTTACTAGGCTTCCTCTAAACAATATTCTGTCTCTTTATATTATAATTCAATTGGATGACATGAAGTTATTTTTCCAGAATAATGGTGGAGTTCTTAAAAGAGAAGAGGGTTGTTCTGGACTCCTTTTCATCTCTGCCTTCTCTGGCTCAGAGTTGATATTATGTAGTACTGTAGTGACTTCCCAGTATGGAGGAAGATAAGGATAAGTACAATATACAGTTAGAGATAAGAGTGCCCCACAGCTCATTCATCAGGTATTGGATGTAAATAAATCCCCATTATTCCAAAGGCGGTTGATAGCCAGCCCATTCTGTTAAAGCCTGGACTGCCCTGTCCTCCCTAAACTTTTGTCCATAATGAAGGTTTTCAACTGAGAAATTTGGTGAGGACTTTTCTACTAAGGTTGAAAAGATCCTCAATGGAAGACACTTTGTGGTGCTTTTCAATACAAAATTCAGTCCAGGAAATCCTTCTCTTCTGTTAAACTTTCTGTTGCCGGGGATGTGACTGGTTCACAGTTTCACCCTCAGCTGGGGCCCTTCTCCTCCCTCAAATGTGACATGGTGTAATCCTGTCTTGGAGCTTTTAGTCACTTTGGGTTAGAGTTTCCCATTCATTTGTTTCTCTCGTCTCATTCAAATTTATATTTTCCAAGAAAATGTTTACTATTAAATACTGTATTGTATACTTCTATTGTTACTGGATTCAACTGAAGCATCCTCGGTGATATATTTTCTTACATAATATTTTTAAAAACATGTCACACTCCTTTCTGCAGTAGCCTCTGTGGTCACTGTAGGTTACATGGGTATTATACTGAGTTCTATCAGGAACTTGTAGATGAAGAGTTACAGATGACTCCCATGAAGATCACTTCTTGCACACACTAGTACAGTACAGTATCAGGAAGATAGATCTAAGAGCTTCATATTCTTAAAGAGATCCTGACTTTGTTTCACTTGGTGGTTCTCTAGAATGGGTCACCCTCAGCCAAGTCTCACACTCTTGGCTAAGTATGAGACCCTCAGGTTAGGCCTAAATGTATTTCCTCTCCTGCACAGAAGGATGAGGATGGATGTGTACTATTCTCCATGCCTAGTTAAAAGTTGGTTAATATATTCAAATCTCAAACAGGAATAAACAAAAAGAAATTATCCTGAACCACAGAACTAAGAGAGGAGCTTCTAAACATAAACATACATTTCACATGATCACTAAAGACAGGTTGAGAGCAACAGTACATGAGCTATGACACATCAAGTGTCTACCCTAGGAGGTAGGTCACATGCTTCAACCCTACAACATGGGTCCTGGCCATCTATTTGTGGGCATCTCCATGAGAACATAAAGCTGACACACTGTAACACTGAGAGACTTTGAAGGTCAGTATCTTCTGTAAATCAACCCATCCTTAGGTTAACTCTACAAGTGGGATGCAGGTCAAACTAGCAGTAATGTGTTTATAGTGGAAATGGGTTTTAGGAAACTAGAAACATGCTTGGGGGATAGGGGAAGGAGACAGGTGTGCACAAGTACAGTACATATTAAAAAAATCAATAATTCTTTAAGTTAACTACAATCTGATAAACATTCTAAATAGCATACAGGTACATTATAATAAACCACATGGCCCAGGAACAAGATACACAGCATGTACATCTCCCTCCCTGAGTGCTGTACCACCCAGCCACCACCTCCCACGTTATAGCAGGTTTAACCCTCTCACTGTGTAATGAGATTAAGGGTGGTTCAATTATCCAGGGAAAAAAAAAGTCTGTTTCATCTTTTTTTTTTACTCAACCATCTAGAAATGACCAAAAGGTTTACACATATAACATCAAAATCTTTGGGTAACAATATCAAAATGTATAACTTAGTGATGTTTGGTGTATGGAGGTACAGTATAGTTGAGGAAAATTATTTACTCTTAAGTCATGTGTATCCCAAAAGCATAAAACTGTATTATTTTAAGTTTATAAACTATTACCATAACTCCTAAATAGCCTTCCATTTATGTGTCAAAACTGAGAGAAAATCACATAATTAGTCAACAATTTTCATTTGCATGTTCTGGCCCGAGTTCATACAAAAGAAAAACAATACAATGTAGTTTTTTTCTTTTCTTTTTCCAACACTATAATACTGTACTAGACTGTTGTTGGGACACAGGAAGAGTAAAAAAAATAAATAAATGATGCACCAAAACATAATTAAAAAGATGAACATCAAGTTACGAAAAATAAAAAATTCATCTACCAGTAATTAATTTTGATTACTTCTTGTTATTAAGTATGACGTGACATAAACATTTACACTGTACAGTATATTGTCATGTCATTGTGTACATAAATGAAATACGTAAAAGTCAGTGTTGTATTGGCAGTGTGGGTGCACTTGTCAGCAGCGGAGTGTGTGTGCCCCGTCTTCTAACAGATGGCAGTACGGAGGGATGTTTGGCCTACGCCTCAAGGCAATGGGCAGGTTATTGAATATTGTGGCAGAGGAAAATAATTTTGGTCAGTTTAGTTGTCCAGCCACTAGTGTCAAGGTTCTCCTGACAATAAACTCAGTCATAAATAAATATTTCTATATCAATCCTCCAATTAAAAAACACAATATTGTACTAACTGCGGTAATGTCTGGGTTTAATATATGTAAAAAGCATTTAACATCCTTCTCACCTCTCACACCAGGGGCTGACCAGAGAACCACAAGATAAGGAAGGAATGGAGAGGGATAATGGTGTAAGAAAAGTGAATACTACAACAGAAAGGAACGGAAACAGCAAACACACACACTTCTTCATATCATAACTTGCAATAAGTATATAAAGCTAATTGGACAGGGATTACATAAGAGATATAAATGTTACTACATCAAGTTACAAATATAGTAAGTAATTTACAAACTGTGCTCACCCCACAGTTTTACACACCAACCACAAAGGTTAACCCAAAAAATCAACCACAGTCCATAAACCAATGTTAGTGTATTATAAAAAACCTCAACTTTAAAACCGTCCAACTGAACTTACTCCACAGTGACATTCAATAGCTTTTCCACGTAGAGAGTTACACCTGGCTTCTTCAGAGTCAAAACAGCAACAGCCATTGTCGAAGGATCTGCCCGATGTAAGGTCACCGAGGCAATTCTTCATGCTCCCTGTAACAAGACCAGGTGAAAATTAGTCATCCACTATAACTATAACTCTACTGTACATGTAAAGATATTCAGCAAAAATAAAATATCTCAATTTTTGCTGTAGTCTGCCTTTCCACTCATTTTAATCTGCTATGTGTGTCTTGTTACACTTATCAAGCTAATAATGCACCGGCAATATGCTTACAACCTGAAGGAATGAGAGTGTTAGAAAAAGAGCAATGCGTCTAACCTGATGATGGAGTACGCTTATGTCCCCGAGAAGAACTGGATTGGGTCTGGAGAGCCACCGTAGCATCCGACCGTGAGCGCTGATGAGACTTGCGGGACGGAGTCGGAAGACTAACTCGTGTGGTAAAAGGAGGTGGAAGCTCCGTGATCGGTGACCCTGGGTTGGAGCCGGGACTTGGGTGTTCTTTTATTCTGGTGCAGAAGGAAGACCTCGGTGGGCAGCCTTGTAACTTGGAGTCCATTCCTAAACTTTCCATGGCTTCCTCTTTGGGCCTGATGAATAAATAAAAATATTTGAATAAGTATTTGGTTCATGTCAACTACAAACATGGGAATGATATTTTCTGCAAGTCATCACAATTGTTCCACATGAATACTTTTCTATAATTATGAAACCCAATCTTCAGAACAGAATTACAATTGATGCTTCATCTCCTGTGAATAATTCTTACTTAACCTCCAAACATTATGTAAATTATGACATAGAGCATAGGGAGTCTCTCCACTCCAGCCATGACTTACCTTAACTCATCAGACAGAATGAGGTTTTTCAACTTGGTACCATGCGACTTTTTCCTCTGGTGGGATGTGTCTGTAGAGAAGGCGTCTAGCAGCCAGGCACACTGGAGGGCAAAGGTGATGTCATGGCGGCACAAGTGAACGAGGAACGGATGGAGCACCTCGGCTATCTCGTACGTCTGCACGTACATGTTGACCAGCTGCGGCAAGAAGAAGTGGGACTCGTTGGGAGGCATGCTGAAGAGACGGTTGCCGATGTACTGTTGCACTCCGGGTTCTTTGCACTTGTACAGATAGGACATCGCCATGGACATGTCAAACATCTTGCTTTCAAATAATCTTAAGAGTAATGATGGCTTTTCATCCAATTTGGGCTTTATACAAGCACTGGCACTACTGGTGCTTGTGCCGGCAACAGAGCTGGCACAACTACTGTTGCTACTTCCAACACCACTGGAACCACTAACAGCACTGGCACCATTAGTGCTGCTACTTCCAGAGGCACTGGCACCCCCACTGCTGTTTTTTGAAACAGCGCCTACACCACTACTGCCCGTACTTGCAGTATGACTGGAACCACTTCTGGTGTTAAATGTAAAAGAACTTGCACCACTAATGTTGCATGTTTTACTTACTTCATCACTTGGTTCTCTATATTCAGTACTCATAATATTATTTTTGATCTCTTCACTAGGTTCCTGAAGTTCTGAGGAACATGAATGCACTTCACTGATTGCTTGTGATTCATTCAAGAGATCTCTGATAGGAGAGTGAGCAGGGCGGTCCCCAAAACTGTTCTCTAGAGGCGAGTCCATACTCTCTGTCACTGTTGTATCACTGGGAGAGATGTCACCTGCATCCTCAACAAGAGTTTGGTCCCCAAGGTCACCCCCCTCACTTACTGAGTCTATCTCTGGCTCTTCCATGTTCACTTCACTGTCTAAAGTTTCAGAATAAACACTTTTCACTTCACAATCAGAACTGAGACACACAACATCTAGGCAGTCTGCACTCCGTGCTCGTTCTGTACTGGGTTCCCTCGTATTGTCTCCCTCAGAACTGCAGATGCCCGAGTCGTCTGAACCCAGGCTGGACTGGTCGTACCGATCCTTCTCTCGTTTGACCACCACAGGATGACCCACAGTTGAGGTCACCAATGCTCTGGTGCGACAAGGATCACTTCTCAACTTAAAGCTGGGAGCATCAGAGAAGGTAAAGGAAAGACTGGGCTTGAGAGGAGGGTTGTTGGCTGGTGGGTGCTGGGGTGTATCTCCACCCTCCACCTCAGGGATCTTCTGTAACACAGAGTCCAGACTGCGGTTCCTCTGGTGTGACCCACTGTACGTTAAAGCTGGCAGAGGAGGCAACACTATACCCATAGACCTGCAAATCATAGTACAGTAATGTGAAATTAATTTATAAACTGAAAGATAAACCACTAGCTATATATTTAGGTTGAACTGAATGCAACATGGCTATGTACACCACAAAACACAGTACTGTTACTGCCTGTTATTTTCTGTTTCCTTGTAACTTTCTGAATACAGCATAGCCAAAATCCTTCAAGTTAGCTATAATAAATCCTTGTGTACACTGTCAACCTTTCTTGTCTCAGAGAGCTGTCAAACTTCCTCATTCCTGAAAATATCAACAAAAATTCTTGTGACGACTTGTGCTACAGTTCTCTCTCCTATTCCTATGAGACTAAACTGTACTGTAGACATCTGGTTACTTCAAGGTTGCTCGGACAGTATCAACAGTTTGTCAGCCAATTATCCATTTTGTTCAATAGTGTACATTTTGTTGTATTATAACTCCTATGGGTTACTAGTATCAAAAAGTAAAAAGAATGCAGCTTAAAAAGTAGAAAATGAGGAGAAACAATTTTAAGTTGTAATGAGAGAAGAAACCCTAAAGGCTCACTACACAGCCTACACAAGGGAAGTTAGAGATCCTCAAGCTGGATGGATCACCCCCAGTCACCTCCCACAATAATTCTGGTAACCTTGAAGAAACAGAGGTAAAGGAGGGACAACATGGTAAGGTTTCCTCAGTGGATCAAGTGACATTTAAAGACAGAGGAAGGTAAAATACAGGGAGCCTCAAGTAACAACACACACACTGCCTTACAGATTCTGGTGGAGATCGTGTGTATGTTGCTGTTGTAACACGATATCCACCACAAGCTGTAAAGTACTGTAAAATATATTTTCTCTTGACACTCTATAGTCCATGGATGTTCTTAAGAATCATGTGTGGGAGGAGAGGGAGGAGGAAAAAAAAGCTAAGTGATTGGATGGATGCAATGTTAATACTGTATAACATTGTAATCAAGGACCGTGGGGTAGAGTCGGCATTACTGTACTGTATAAACTCTCCTTTGCCGTACTAGTTTATAATACTCTGGTTAAATAATCAGGTGATATTTTCTTTAGGGGGATAAGTCACTGTAATTCCTCTCTCTGTTCAAAATTCCTGGACTGTTGTGTACTTGAAGCATTGCACACCAATACTTAGCTGTTATATACTGGATGGTTGCCAAATAGATGTCATATCACAATAAAAACTTGCTTTATTTGTGTCTTGTTTTGTTTTCTCTGGCCTTCAAACCCCCCTCCCCCCAAGCAAGAGAATAACATAAGCCAATTATTCGTGGTATGCTGTACTGTATATATAACTGTTCATGGGAGATATTTGCATCAGATCGTCACCAAAAAATGACTGACAACTGAAAAAACTGCTGGAAAAAACAATGGTATTTTCAACAATAACTGATCTGTCACTAAGTTAAATGAGTAAAGAAGAACAGTTGGAGAAGAAATATACTTTATCAACATTTAGTTTTTATAAATTAACTTTGAACTTTTAAAAGCCCAGAATGAGTAACTGATTAACTGTCACTCAACAACTTAGATTTTATGACATAACCTTTTACTGTACTGTAGGGAATGAACATTTGTTTACATCTGAACTGTATGTACACAAGAGTACAATCATTAAACCCTAAAGGCAGTTAAATTAAGTACATTATTGAGGTGATGAAAGTGGGTGTGCCAACAAAAAAAAATATTGGTTAACAACTGAACTTTTGAGAGAGAGACTTTGACATATTTCTCTTTGTACTTCACATGATACATTATAACACTGGCACTAGTCTAAAAGTTATGGGCTCTGTATCTCACTTAAGAATACCGGTAGTGTTACTGACAAAGAAAAGATCCAATAAAAATATAGAGTACTGAACTAACTTGGCCTTCCCCAGTATGGCCAAGAGTACTGTACTGTGTTCGTTGACTTAGAATGATGCATACAGTAGTTATATAGTAATTACCTGAAGTCTAGGGAGAGGTTGCGTTGGTGGTTGGGCCGGTGCTTCCTTGCAGATGAGGCATGAGGAGGAGGTGGGCGTCTGGCTGCAGATGAGCCTCCTCCATGTACCGTGGCAAACTCTTCAGAGGGCGGCAGCGGGCAAGCAGAGGGAGGCAACGTAGCAGACATATGGGGGGAGATCCTCTTGCCTGGGGCGATGAGGGTGGTGGTGATGGTGGAGGTAGAAGTGGTGGTGGTGAGGGCCTCCATGGTGGTGGCTGGCCTCCTCCCCGTCTCCAACACCACGCCGGCCACACCGATGGCTCCTAGACTCCGGGCCCACCATCACGCACCATTACACACACTGAAACATCCATCATGGTATCAATAGTGAGCCATTTACTCCTCGGGAAAAAATACTATACACATTAATAAGAGCCTGTGGAAGGTGTAAGTCCATGTACATAGCGACAGACCTCAAAAGCCAAATCAGCAGAGTCACGTCTTTCAGAAAATAGCGCACTTGCTCCCAATCTGTCATGTGACACCAATCCTGAATACTGCCACAACTACCACACCTGCCCTACTCTGCCACAAAAACCACATCTGCCTTCCTCTTGTCGCAACAACCACACCTGCCCTACTTTGCCACAACCACACATGCCCTCCTGTCACAACTACCACATCTGCCCTCCACCACAACCACACCTGTCCTCCACAACCAAACCTGTCCTCCACCAGATCACAATAAAAACTAAAATCTAATCTTCCAGGAATTCTATATCAAAGTAAGAGAGACAGTAAACTTGGACAGGTGAGAGGAAACACAAGCAAGAAGAGTTGCACAAACTAGAGAACTAGTGAGAAACTTGACATAAGAAACACCAACATTCGCCAACACAAGATATAATTTACACCCAGCCCAGAGTACACGAGTTGTAGATCTGATTAGCCATGAGATGCTGTCAGTAAAAGGGAAAAATATGATTTGAGAAGTATAGTAAGGTAGTTAGTAGACAATACACACACACACACACACACACACACACACACACACACACACACACACACACACAAAGATCAGGATGTTTGGAAAGTTGGCAACAGAGAACCTGACCACAAAACCAAAGAGTGTTGGCACATTGAGCACTTCCTTCCTTCGACCTCAGTCACTAGTATACATTTCGGGTAACCTCGCCTTCACAACAACAGCGGCAACAACGAGCTAAGCGACAAGGTGTAGACCCAACCCACTACAATCGTCCCTTAACTAGAGAAATTAACCGTTAAGAAAATAAACTATGTAACCAGTAAATATGAAGAAAAAAAATGTTCTCAGCGATTCGAAATTTAAATAGTGTAGAACATATACCACGGGGTTTACAACAGAAGAAAAACAAACAAACATACAAATTTTAACGAGTCCCTCCCTCCCCCCTCCCCCCCCCACACACACAACATTCCAACAACGCCGGAAATTCCTAATATAATTTTTTTTTTTAATAAGTACGTACAGAAATTACTGTATGCGTTTGCTTGTGTAGCTACGTACCGCCACTACATGTTTACACCTATGATGGGACAAAGGTGGACATACAACACACAGTGAACATGGGTTATAGTTTGTTATAGAGTACAGTATAATCGAATGCCTAGTGTGATCTCCGAGTTCCTGGTCAGGTTATCTTGGTGACGATGGTGAGTTCTATTAAGATAACTAACCGGTAATGACTAAAGCTGTCTTCTATCTTGGGAAATGAGTAAACACAAAATATTAGTTTTGTTTTCAAGATTATTTCTACCCAACCTTCTTCCCATGTCATCATCGCCTGGACTGTCACCACCACTTGACTGTCACCATCACTTAGACTGTCATCACCACTAGACTGTCACCATCACTTGACTGTCATCACCACTAGACTGTCACCATCGTCATTTACAGTGTCACCACCACCAACAACACTCACCAGCAGCAAGGCACACCACACTGTCCGGTCACCATTATCAGACACACACACAGACACGGTAGAGAGAGAGTCCAGGCGAGGGGATAAACAAGGTTATCTGTCGTACCGTACACCACCACCACGGTTATCACCACACACAGCTGATACCATTACCAACACAAGACCACTGACACCATTACCCCCCACAAGAACACAGAAACCATATATTTACTGTTATCGTGTCGGCGTGACGTGACAGATGAGGACAGTACACAGCCCCAACAAGCAGTACTGTCTGTGTGTCTGTCTTCACCAACACAACACACAGCGCTCTGTCTATAGTTAACAGCTGCACTTGATGACCACCAGCACAGTATTAGTGGTAGTTGTTGTAGCAGTGGTGGTGGGAGGTGTAGAGATAACACCTTCAGATGGCTGGGGTGTAATTAGATGTGTGTCTGAGTTGGTCGTGTGAGGGAGAGGATGAGACCGGTGCCAGGGTGTTACTGCTACTGCCGCCACTGCTGGTGTTGCTGGCGATGGTAGTGAAGACTCAGACCCAGCACTACCCGCCAACACTTCCACTAACCTCCTCCTACTCCTCCCACACACACACACACAGACACTCACTCACTCAACTCCCTTCACCGCCTATCAATGAACCATTCTGTACCATCACCACACACATAACATCTTCACTACACTTCATCACACAATGCAAAAAGTATAAAGTGAAACACACAAATTATAATTGAATTTTCACGAATGAAAATAATTATAAAGAATATAATATTACTCATAATATTCTCAGAAGGCAACCCTCAAGTTTAAAACCACAGCGTCACCGGTGATCTCATCAATGACGACACCGACAGTCCCACGGCCAATCACGAGCCGCCAGGAAGACGTCACTCCTGGTGATGACATCATATTCTAAGACGGGACAGCCAATAGCATACAGCCAAGTTGATGACGTCACTAACCGGTAATGACGTCAACAGATGAGTATGTCTTCTAGCCGAAACTGATAACACCAGGTCATACCTCACTTTACATATGTGTGTGTGTGTGTGTGTGTGGTGATGGTGGTATGTGTGTATATCATTATTCAACTCACCACTATCTCCTGTTGCAACCACCAAAGATCTCTCTCTCTCTCTCTCTCTCTCTCTCTCAACACAACATGTCCTCCTTCCTCAATGACGAGACCATCACTATGAGGGCAAGGGGCTGAGATCACCACAAGGTCTCACCCCCCCACACACGTACAAATGAGTGTTTCGAACGACTGTAAATATCACACAGTGCCTGAAGGAGACGATGAAGGGGGGGGGAATAATGTCTTGTGTATACGGAAGGGTGGGGAGGGAGTGGGGGGATGGGTGACCATTACCACGTTGAGTCATTACACATCCTGACTCTCTCTCCCGACCCATCCATCCGTTTATCCTCATCTAACACACACACACACACACAACCTGATCCACACACCCATCTTACACAACAATCGCCCCTTTAACAACAACAATCGCGCCTAAACAACAACAACAATCTCCCCTAGACCACAACAATCGCCCCTAAACAACCACAATCTCCCCTAAACAACAACAATCTCCCCTAAACAACCACAATCATCGACAGTGTGTAGGAGCAGGTGACTCTAACGCCAACAATGGTTATAGACGTGTGAACTAACCCCTGTGTGAGAGCTGACTTGCTGACTCAACTTCGGTGCTGTTACCTGTCAAGGCGTCTAACCCCCAAATTGTGTGTGTGTGTATGCGTGTACTGTATGTATGTATGTATGTATGTGTGCGTGTGTGTGTGTGTTTTATCTTCACGTAATAAAGCTTCCATCAGTCTAATCATTTGGTAGTTTTAAAGTCCTGAGCACTCCCATCCCCACCCCGGCCTCTGGTGACAGGTCAATTGGGCCCCAAGTCTTAATGGACCCCAGCCTTACCTATTCAAATTGGGCCCAACCTTACCTATTTAAACTTGGCACCAAATCCTAATGGGTCCCAACTACAGCTATTTTTCTATTGGAGCTCCAGTCTTAATAGGTCCTCCTCCAACTGGGTCACACTCCTAAAGGTTAAAATAGGTCAAGGTGAGGTCTATCAGGAGTGGGGGGGAGGCACTAATTGACCTTCAATCGTGGTCACTAATCATCCCTATCTGAGTTATGATTAACCAGTGGGCCGTGTTTATCTGGGGGGTCATGTTACCTGTGTGTGTGTGGGGGTCGTGTGTGTGTGTTTGTGAGGGGTCGGGGGGTGTGTGTGTGTGTGTGAGGTGTGTGTGGTCGGGGGTGTGTGTGTGTGTGTGGGGTGTGTGTGTGAGGGGTGTGTGTGTGTGTGAGGGGTGTGTGTGTGTGAGGGTCGGGGTGTGTGTGTGTGTGTGAGGGGTGTGTGTGTGGGGGTCGGGGTGTGTGTGTGTGTGTGAGGGGTCGGGGTGTGTGTGAGGGGGAGGGTGTGTGTGTGTGTGTGTGAGGGCGGGTGTGTGTGTGTGGGGAGGTCGGGGTGTGTGTGTGGGGGGTGTGTGTGTGTGTGTGTGGGGGTGGTGTGTGTGTGTGTGTGTGTGTGTGTCGGGGTGTGTGTGTGTGGGAGGGGTGTGTGTGTGTGTGGGGGTAGGGGTGTGTGTGTGTGTGTGGGGGTCGGGGTGTGTGTGTGTGTGTGGGGTCGGGGTGTGTGTGTGGGGGGTCGGGGTGTGTGTGTGTGTCGGGGTGTGTGTGTGTGTGTGGGGTGTGTGTGTGTCTGTGTGTGTTTGTGTGTGTGTGTGTGTGGGGTGGGGTGTGTGTGTGGGGGGTGGGTGTGTGGGCGGATCGGGGTGTGTGTGTGTGGGGGTGGGGTGTGTGTGTGAGGGTCGGGGTGTGTGTGTGTGTGGGGGGTCGGGGTGTGTGTGAGGGGTCGGGGTGTGTGTGTGTGTGTGTGTGTGTGGGTGTGTGTGTGTGAGGGTAGGGGTGTGTGTGTGTGTGAGGGGTAGGGGTGTGTGTGTGTGTGTGTGTGGGGTAGGGGTGTGTGTGTGTGTGGGGAGGGGTGTGTGTGTGTGTGTGTGTGTGTAGGGGTGTGTGTGTGTGTGGGGGTCGGGGTGTGTGTGTGAGGGGTGTGTGTGTGTGTGGGGTCGGGGTGTGTGTGTGTGGGGGTCGGGGTGTGTGTGTGTGGGGGGTGGGGTGTGTGTGTGTGTGAGGGTGTGTGTGTGTGTGTGGGGAGGGGTGTGTGTGTGGGGGAGGGTGTGTGTGTGTGTGGGGGGGGGTCAGGGGTGTGTGTGTGTGTGGGGGTCGGGGTGTGTGGGGAGGGGTGTGTGTGTGTGAGGGTGTGTGTGTGTCGGGGTGTGTGTGTGTGTGAGGGGTGTGTGTGTGTGAGGGGTGGGGTGTGTGTGTGTGGGGGGGGTGGGTGTGTGTGTGGGGGTCGGGGTG